CTCCCTCTCTCTCTCTCTCTCTCTCTCACACACACACACACACACACACACACACACACGCACGCGCGCGCACTGGCACGTGATTTGTGCCCAGGACACTTTAGCAAGGAAGGCTGCTGCAGAGGCCCCAGGCCTTAGAAAGGCCACTGTGGGGTCCCCACTGGCCCAGAGCGAGGCCAGCCTGAAGCAGCCTGGGACCAGGCAGCCTGGAATCCCCCCCCCCCAAGATCTTTTAAGACTCCCTCAGCAGGGAGGCCAGCTCCAGACCACTTAAGTCGGTCTCCGGGTGGAGTCCCGCATCAGTATTTTCTAGAGACGTCCCAGGGGTTCCCAATGTCCCACAAGTCTGGGAACCGGGCTGGTCTAAAGCGGGGTGTGCCTGAGGCCTGGGCTGGGGAACTTTGAAACGACAGGAGAGGCCACCATCTTGCCTCTTGAGGTGAAGCCGGATGGGCGGGGGTGGAGGACGTGCCACCTGGGGCCCAGCTAAGGGCTGCAGCTCCCAGGGGCCCTTGGGGCCTGGCAGCCACCACCTCTTCATGCCCAGGCGGGGAGGGGCTGCCTGCACCCGCCCAGGCCTCTGGAGAAGGCTGCAGGAGCAGCAGCTCCGAGCCCCGCTTGGGCACCAGAGGGAGCTCGTGGGGACGCGCCAGGGCTCCCTCCCGGCAGCTGGTTCAAACTGGTTTGGACAGGGTGCGGCCTCGGCGGGCTGCATTCCAGGCCTCAGGCTCTCTGCCCTTCCCAGGGCCTCCCTGAGGGCCCCCGGGACCAGGGCTGGACCAGGGGGCAGGGCCCTGGGGCAGGAGCCAAGCGCCCCTGAGGGCCTGGGGAGATCTTCAAACCCAACCCTCTGCGTTTAAGATCTTTTCTCGGCCTCCCAGGGGCCCTGTCAGATGCCAGCAGCAAGGTAGAGCCCCTGGGTGGGCTTGTCCTCAGAGGCTGGGGGATTGCAACCTAGAGGCCCAGCACCCCTTCTCCCCGGAAGCCCCCTCCCTTCAGAAAGTCTGGGGCAGGGCTCTGGGCCTTGGGTGTTTAGCAGAGTGTTTCTAAGGCACAACTGCACACTCACAAGCAAAATGACTGTGGAGCCAGCCTGGCCCAGAGTGCAGATCCAGGGGCGCTGGGGAAGAGCCCGCCGTCTCCAGAACCCTCCCCCAGGGAAGGGGGCTGGGCAGTCAGTGCTGTTAACCAACATTCCAGGCTGTGGGGTTTGTTGGGTTTTTTTTAATGAGTCATTTTGGGCATTTGAAAAGGTTAAGTATTATAGCCAACATCAACTAAAGAGAAGAACATCACAAATATCATTGAAACCCCTCTGTTGTCCCTCCCTGTCCCCCCCCACCCCAGCAACCACCTTCCTGGTGGGTGGGGGAGCATGGTTTCTGCTCCCTTTAGGCTCACGCTGCGCGTCACCTAAGCAACCTGTGGTGTGCTTGGGCATGACTTAAAAGCCACTCGGTGACGGCAGCTCCTCGCCCACTTACCATTTCGTTCCTGACATCTATCCGAGGGGCAGTTGTGACACTCAGCTCTACTTGGTTAATCTGGGCCAGTTCTGGGCTCTTGGGGAAGAGGTCCCAGCCAGGGGACGGGTGAGGGGCCAAGGTTGGTGCCTAGACCAGCGTGGGATGCCCGGAAGGTTGGCACACTGAGGGAAGTCATGCCGTGGCCAACGGCCAAGTGTGGGCTCAGCGAGTTCCCATAAACCCCTTTCCCTGAGCACCTGAGACCCAAGTCTTTGCCAAGAATTTTCTAGAAAATGACCGTGGGCTGAAGTCCTGAATGTACAGGCGGGATGTTGAGAAGTTAGCAGAGGGTGCGTTTGGAAGTAGGGATTGTAGAGGGGTGGCTGGGTGACCAGGGCGTGCTCAGACCCTCCCTGGGCTGCCTGACAGGATATGAATTCAGATGGAACCGAAACTGGCCGAGAGGCACCCTGTGTACTTATTTTCAACCCTAAGATCAACCCATTAAATAGAAACAAATTCTTTCTATCTGTGTATCTATCTGTCTTACCAGGGATTGAGCCAGAGGTGCCTACCCACTGAGCCACACCCCAGCCCTTTTTATTTTTTAAGTTGAGACAGAGGCTCCCTAAAGCTGCTTAGGGACCCACTAAGTGGCTGAGGCTGGTTTTGAACTTTGGAATCCTCCTGCCTTTGAGCCGCTGGGATTACAGGCATGCGCCACCCCATGCCCGGCCCAAATTGAATATTTTGAAAGAGGAGTCCTGCGAAAAATCAAGACTTCCCTGGCCCATGTACTTCCCTGTACTCGTGACTATTGGTTTGGGGTGTGGGGTAGCCCTCCTCCTTTAGCCCCAGGGTCTCTGAATGGCTTAGGAGCATCTCAGTGGTAGAGCTGTCCTAGTTTCAGTCCCTAGAACCACAAATAAATAAAGGCTGCCCGGAGGAGGAAGAGGAGGAGTTGGTCCTCCGTTACCCTTGGCTTTCCTAAAACCAGCTGCTTAATAGGATGGTCCTGGGGCCAGCAGCTTGGGGGCTTTAAAAGAAGGAGGCCCTAGGATAGCTCTGACACTGGGTGGACCCTGGAATCACCCGAGAAAACTTCTGATTCTGACCTAATCTGCCGGACGTGAGGTCTGGTTGGGGGCATTTAAAAGCTCGCGGTGGGTTTCCAACGCTGGGAACCACTGCCCTCCGGGGATTCCAACAGAAAGGTGTGGTCTTCGCCTTGGTCCTCCTTCTCGACGTGGCTGTGTGTTGGAACCATCTGGTGACCTTCAGAAAATTCTGATTCTCGGGTCTCAACCGTAAAAGACTGTGTGGGGCCCGGGCCTCGGACGTTTCAAACGGGCCCAGGTGACTGCAATCTGCAAACGAGTTGGCCAGGTCCTGGTCCACCGGGTGGTGCAGGGGCGGCCGCAGTGCGCGCGGCGCACCACTGGGTGGCACTGCCCGCTCGGCCGGCGCCCGGGGAGCTGCGGGGAGCTGCGGGCCGCGGCCGGTGCGCACCTGCCCCGCCCCCCTCGGCCCGGCGGGCCGCGGGGCAGGCAGCGGGCCGGGGCGGGGCTCCGAGGCCCCGGCGCGGGACGGGCGCTCGGGCTCTCTGTGCCCGCCGGACCCCGTCGCCCTCCGGATGCTGCTAGTGGACGCCGACAGTCCGGAGCCCGTGCGCAGCGGGGCGCACGAGCTCGCGCTCTTCCTGACCCCCGAGCCCGGGGCCGAGGTAGGGGACCGGGGGTGGAGGACCATGCGGGAGTCACGGGTGGGGACCCGGGCCCTGAAACAGGTGGGAACCCGCGGTTCTTGCAGCATCCTCGCGCGCCCGAGGGCTGGGGGGCCAGGACCGCCGCCCTCTGGAGCGGGGGCTGCCGGGGGCGACCCTGAGATGACCGGCGGGTCTCAGCTCGTCCCCGCTGCTGCTGACCCGGGACCCCCGCCCGGGTCCCGGGACGCCGGGTCGAGCGCGGTCGGGGCTGCTGCCCTTCGCCGGGCTGGCCCTGGGGACGCCCGACGGGCCCTGCCCCTGTCCAGCCCCGGCCTCCTCTGAGCGGTGCCAGAGCCCAGGAGCGGGAAGCCCCGAGGCCGCGGTCCGCTACGGTTGCTAGGAGCAAAATACCACGTCCCTCTCGGCACTTTCTATTTTAAACGCATAAATAAAAAGTACAGCTAAAACGAGGCTCCTGCCTCCTTCCGGCTGGAGCAGTCTGTTGATGGAGCTGGGAAAAGTTACCGAAGTCCACTAGCAGTTATTTAGGGCCAGAAAACCAGCCCGTTCTCTTTTTAAATCACAAAAGCAGCGCGGAAGCATTTAAAATAAAGGCCGGGCGTCGCCCTCTCATTTTCTTTCCCACTTCAGTTCCAGTTCGCAGAGAAAACCAGCACCAACAGTTGGTGCGCATCATTCCAACGCTTAAGAGTGCCTTTAGCGATGTGGGTACTTATATATCCGTATCTGTATTAGACGTGATGATACAGTGCTCCTCTGCAACTTGCTTTTCTTTACTCAAAATGGCATAGAAAGCCGCTGAGGCAGCTGCAGGCCTGTGATCCCAGCGACTTAGGCGGCTGAGGCAGGAGGATCTCAAGTTCAAGGCCAGCCTCAGCAACTTCTGGAAGCAACTTAGCAAAACCCTCAAAATTAAAAAAAAGAAAAGAAAAAGAAAGAAAGAAAGATTTTTTTCCCGAAGGGCTGAGGCTGTAGCTCAATGTCAAAGCACCCCAGGTTCAATCCCGAGTACCAAAAAGAAAAAGAAAAGAAAGAAAAAAGGTGCAGGGGATGGAAACATGGAGAGTGGCTGGCGAGGATAAGGTAAGGGGACGCTGTTCCTGGTGAAGAAAGTGTTGTGACATTAGCAGGGATGGGTGCAGAACTTTGTGAAGGAAACTGCTGGATCCTACACATTAAGCAGATGAATTTGGGGGAATGTGAATCATAACTCAGTTTAGGAAGTAACATGCCAAGACAAAACAAAAAAGCACGACAAAACCAAAAAATGAGAGAGAGAGAAGAAAATAAATAAATAAAAGAAGTAGCATGCAACTCAGATGCTGTGGTTCATGCCTGAAATCCCTGCAACTTGGGATACTGAGCCAGGAGGACCGCAAATTCTAGACTGGCCTCACCAACTTTGCAAGACCCCAAATAAAATAAAAAGGACTGGGGAGGTAACTCAGTGGTACAGGGCCCCTGGGTTAAATGAGCGCATCCATAAGAACTATCCTGTAGAAATATGATTCCAACCACAAATGTGAGATATCTTTGTAATTTAAAGTGCCCCAAGAAGCACACACAGAAACACAGATGACATCATTTCACCATATTAAGTGTATCCAAAATATCATTTATCCAAAATAATGCAGATCCAAAATATTTCAATATGTAATAGGAATTATTTTTTTTTTTTGAAAATTTTTAATATTTATTTTTTATTTATTTTATTTTTTTTTTTGCGGACACAACATCTTTGTTTGTATGTGGTGCTGAGGATCGAACCTGGGCCGCACACATGCCAGGTGAGCACGCTACCGCTTGAGCCACATCCCCAGCCCAGGAATTATTAAAATAATGACATTTTACATTCTTTTCTCTTAACCAAGTTTTAGAAATCAGGCTTTTTTTAAAAAAATTTTATTTATTTATTTTTCAAATCAGGCTTTTTAAAGCCTGTCTCTGGGCCAGCCACATTTTAAATGCTCAGTAGTCCCTTGGGGTGGGTGGCTTCTGCATTAGAGAGTCTACATCATTATTTGACTTAGCATCCCACCATGAGATAAGCATTGTTTCTATGAGCACCTACTACGCGCCAGCAGCGTGCTGCTCTGCTTGTAGGTTGTGCCCTTGCACAGGGACTGACCTAGTGGCTGCGAAGTTCTTATGTAGATCTCATAGCTCAGCAACGGAGGCTTTCACTGAATGCGTGTCGGCTTGTGGATCCAGGATTTATGAACATCTGTAAGTGGCTCAAAGCTGCTGCCCTTTGCCAGACTGGACCCTGGAGGAGACCCAATCCCCTGTCACATCTTGGTCTGGCGGCGCAGGGACAGGTGTCTGCAGTTTCCCCCTGGCTTCAGGGTTCTTGTTTCTTTTCTTTTAAAAATATTTTTGTTGTTGCTGTAGATGGACACAATACCTTTGTTTTATTTATTTACTTTTATGTGGTGCTGGGGATCACCCAGTGCCTCACACGTGCTAGGCAAGCCCTCTGCCACTGAGCCACGTCCCCAGGCCCTGAGTGTGAGCGGCGAGAGTCCCTGTGCCCATTCAGGTCCGCTGTGGACAGTCTTCTGAAGAGACGGTGTGTATTGGCTGTTTTCTCCTCTGGGCTCCTTCACTCAGAACAGCTTTGCTTGGGCTCGTTTGTAAGGGACATAATGGAGAACCCCAACTCCCTGTAGCTCCGTGCGGCAATAAACCCACTTATCGCGCCTGCTGAAGTTTATTTACCAAAAGAAGCTGACTCCAGGCCGCGGCAGCCGCGCCAGGCCCTCCTTAGCGTTGATTCATTACAGGTCCCTGAGCTGCAGCTGGCAAATGAGCCAGGAAAGGGACGTCTGCATCGGGAAGGGCCTGAGCAGCAGGTGGCCCTCGGGCAGCCCTTTCCCCAGGTCCCGTTGGCTCGTACAGGAAGCAGCTTCTTAATCCAGCCAGTGCCAGCCCCGCGGGTGTCCAGCTTCCTTGGTGAAATGGGGCCTGCCCTGTTCTGTGCAGGTCAGCCTGGAGCTGGAGAGGACAGAGCCGCCAGACCTGGGCCTGCCCGCCTGGCGGTCAGACAGCAGGCCAGGGACAGATAACACCCATTAGTTGTGATGAGTGCCCTGGAGACGCCCCAGGCTGGAGGGCGGCTCTGTGTGTCTGGAGTGGAGGCTGGGCAAGGCCTCTGTGAGAAGCTGTGTCTGGGCAGTAGCCCCCGGGATGTGCAGGGACCAGGGAGGGGAGGAGGAGGGTAGTACCTACCTGCAGTCCTGGAGGGCTTCCCTGAGGCAGTGACATGTTAGGGTGAGCCCTGAAGCCTGAACAGGAGTTGGCCGGCTCCAGGAGAAAACTATCACAGGCAGCGGATCCATGTTGGAAGAGCCCAGCAGCCTGCTGTGGGGGGGGGGGCAGGGTGTCGTTGGGGGTGGAGAGAAGCCCTGGTAGAAGGGGGCAGAGGGCGTGGTGGCTAGGCAGCAGGCAGAAGCGTACCATGCCTGCCCTTGTGTCTTAGCTTGTTCATCGCCATGACCAAAGGACCTGGCGAGAACAGTTAGAGGAGGAGAAGTTACTTGGCACTCACCATCTCGGAGGTTCGGCCACGGCTGGCGACTGGAAGGGGGGCCGACCATCACGGTGGAAGGGCATGGGCGGGAAAGCAGCTCAGGACAGGCCATCAGGAAGCAGAGAGCTCTGCCCACTAGGGACAAAATATAAACCCAAAGGCCCAACCCTAGGGACCTGTCTCCACCCGCAGAGTCACCACCGGTCAGCCCACGTCAGGGGACCCACGCACTGATGAGGACAAGGCTCTCCTAACCCTCAACTTCACCTCTAAACGTCCTTCACAGTCTCACCCATGAGCTTCTGGGCGGCTCCTCAGGCCACAGCAGCTTGGCACTGCCTTTCAGGACACAGGAGTGGACCGAGGAGCGCTGCAGGATGTCCTGAGTTGCTTAGCACCTCGCTTTTGCTAGGGCTGGCCTTGAACTCGAGATCCTCCTGCCTCAGCCTCTGAGGATTCCAGGTGTGCGACACAACGCCCAGCTACCCAGGTTTCTTGAGTGGACATTTTTCTTGGGGCAAAAATGTGTTTCTCATTTATTTAGTTATTATTATTTATTTTAATGAAACGGTCTTTGCCACAGTCCCCCCTGGTCCCTGCCACTCCCTCACTAAAGCTGCTGTCGGTCACCATTGACCCTTGTGCTGGAACTTTTTGATTTTTCTGTCGTCAGAAGAGCAAAGGGAGAGATTGTTGGCTGAAACTGTGTATCTGGCAAAAGCAATTAAACACAAATTAGCCAGAAATGGCCTTGTGTGTTAAGAAAAACGAGGAAGAGGCTGTTTTTCCATGGAATCTGAGAATATTCCCTGTGTCTGGCCTGCAGACCCCGTGTGCCTACGTGAAACCACCCTGTGTGCCCCGTGACCTGCTCGTCCCTTTACATTCAAGTCTCAGGTGTTAGATTAGAAGTCCGTGGGTGGACCACAGGGCGCAGTCTGTCTCAGGGATGTAGTTCTGTATTAATTTATGCTTCAGATTTTCAGAAAACCTGCTGTGTTCTGGGTTCTGGGCAAGCCAGTGGCACACAATGGTGCCATCCTCAGGACTGGCATCGTGGTCTGGGAGATGCGTGGACAGTAAAGATGGAAGGGAAGACGGTGGCCGTGCTGTAGACGTGGGTTCCACGTCTGCAGGTTTAGCCACCTGGGGATCAAAAATGTTGGGGGAAAATGTGCAAAAAATAGAATAATAAAAATGATGCAGATATTCAAAGACCTAGTACAGGCTGGGGATGTGGCTCGGCGGTAGGTGCTTGCCAAGCGCACACAGACCTGGGTTCATCCCCAGCGAAACTAAAGCGGCAAAAGAGGCAAACAGCATCGCAGCGAGTTACATAGCAATGAATTTGCATTTGAGCAACAGGAATCATCAGAGATGACCTAAAATACACAGGAGGGAGGGGATTGAACTCAGTCCCTTCACACATGCTGGACAAGTGCTTTCCCACTGAGGTGCATCCCCAGCC